AACTACTTTAGTGCAAGGAACACTAGGGTACTTGGACCCTGAATACTTCCATACAAACCATCTAACAGAAAAGAGTGATGTTTATAGCTTCGGAGTTGTCCTTGTAGAGCTACTAACAAGCAAAGTGGCACTTTCTTTTGCCAGGCCTGAGGCAGAGAGAAATCTGGCGAGCTTCTTTGTTTGTTCAGTGGAAGAGGGTCGCTTGAATCAAATTCTTGATGAAGACATAGTCAATGAGGGAAATATTGAGACACTTAAAGAAGTGGCTGATCTTGCAAATAGATGTTTAAAGGTAAAAAGGGAGGAAAGGCCTACCATGAAACACGTAGCCATGGAACTGGAAGGGATGAGGATTATGGCAAAGCATCCATGGGGAAAGGCCAATTTCGGCCCAGAGGACACTGAATACTTGCTTGGGTCAGCTTCAATGGCTTCTGTTAGAGGTGACAATTGTTCTAGTACCGGTACAACTACTGATGCAACTACTGTGTACGACAGCATGCGAATCGAAATCGAAATGTTAATGCGACACAATGGGCGATAGCTCCTCGACTGGTCAATAGTGATGTAAGGTAGGAAATCTTACCAATATTAGTTTGTTTTGGTTTTGAGACAGTGCCTCATTTAAGAAAAGGGCATATCAGAGTACATACTACAATGTACTGCGTTGTAAAGTTATGTGGAAAAATAAATTGTAACAAGAAGAATGAGTGAAGATTAACACAAAACTACTCAGGCACCCATGAAATAAAATTAAAACACAGTATATATTTAAAACCCTGTCAGCTCAGCTTGCATTTCTCATGATGGAATTGGAGAACAAAATTTAACAGGAAAATGTTGCTGTCTACAATATATGAAATTTCAAAGTTACACATTTCAGGAAAAGCAATTAATTTGCCAGCTCAATCTAATTTGTTTATTCTCAAAAGACACAAGAATCACCTAGATCAAAATCCTTAACCTGTTCATTACAGTGAAAACAATTATCATGAACCTTGCAATAAAATTTGAAATAGAAATACAAGAGAAGCACAACCTAATCAAATCCCTTTGTTTAAAATGGAAACCCTGCTCAAGGAGATGAGGAATGAGGAAACTAACATAACCGTTGTTGTTGTTGGAACTCATTGTTGTCCCACATCGGCTAGAGGGCCAAAGAGAAAGTAGTTTAAATAGAAATACACATCTCTAACTAACACTGAGGCCTTTTGTGATAAAACCTCACACCTAAGGATTGTGCAGGTGGTAAAGTGGGGACAGTATCAGTGTTGTTGGAGTGGGCCCTCGGCCCGTTAACCTGGAAAATTTGACATGGTATCAGAGCCAGGTTTTCTTGTGACCTGTGTTTGCGTTTTGCTTGACGTATTGCTGTTACCATTGCCGCTATTGTTGCCGTTGATGTTGCCTTTGTTTGCTTCGATTACCGTTGCTATGGTTATTACCGATGCCATGTTGCTGTGTTTTGATCTGTCTCTACAACATAAAAAACCCTAACCTTAAACACTACCTATTTCCGCTGCACTATACACCTAGCTTATAATCCTAGCCCGCCGCCGCGGTCTACCTTGCTACCGTCATCGCCGCCTACCTTGCTATTGTCACCGCTGCTCATCTATTCCGCTACAATTTAACACCTATCTGCCATGGCTGATTCTGCTACATCTCAGTGTTAGTCAGTGCATGTTTCTCAAGTACCATTGATCATATGGCTCCATCGACCCCTTCTCTTCAGGGGAAGAAGGGGAGTGAAGAGAAGTTGTCTCTGCTGTTGCTGGTGCCAATGCCTTGTATTGCTGTTGATGATGCCTATTATGTCTCTGCCTTGTTGCTCCTGCATGTTATGGTGCCAGTATTGTTGCTCATGCCTTTGCTGGTGTGTTTGCCTTGCCTTACCTTATTTTTTAGGGTTTGATTTCTGTTATATCTTCTGCCGTGCTCACAGGGCTTCTGTGTTCTGCCTTATCTGCTGCCGTGCTCACAGGGTTTCTGTGTTCTGCTATGT